GGGAGCAATGTGGGAGGGATCGGTCTAAGAGCAAGCTGGTTTGGAGGATCGGGTGAGTATAACTTTGTTATTTTTGACACCATACAAAAATGAGCACTTAAAGGATAATTAAAGCCTCAACTTTATTTGCATATATCTATTGCTAGCAAACAGTAGATTTTTGCAAAAAGTGTTTTAAAAAAAGCATCTTGGGGCGGGCGGATGCGCAGATCACATTTTCGGTCGGGAGACGAGAAGAGACACAAGGTAAGTCTATGGACGCGAGCACCCTCATGCAGACACCGTGGGACAGGAAGTGCCAGCAAGCACGGAGGAGTCAGCGCTGGATCGGAGACCCGCCGCAGCCCTGGAGGGACAGATGAAAAGGACAGGAAAGAAGAAGATCGGATTAAGAAGCATCATTAAAGGTAAGTGCTGACATTAACATGGGGGGGGGGGACATTTTTGCCTTTGATGTCACTTTAACCCTTGCAGTGCAGGGGGTAACCCCACTGCAAGGGTGAGGAAAAGATTTCCCTTGAGTTCTGTTTTAAATCACACAACATTCACATACATGCGCATATACATTGGTCTTTTTTAAATGTGGGAAAAGAGAGTAACTATCAGGACCCATCCATATTAACCCTTAGTTAACTTGCTTATAGTAAACTGTTATTTTTCTTTAAAACTTATGACATGATATATACAATAAATGCCAACACGCTAACTGTATTTAGCTTATGTTTTACTTTAAATTACAGCAATGGAGTGTAGATCTACATATGATTAGGTAATTTATATGTAACCTTATATTGGTGTGCATCTCTGCTCTTACACTTTATTATAGTTGTTTTACATATTATACACTATAACTATATTGAAAAGGGGACAATTAGAAGTATTATAATCCTGTAAAAAATATACAAAAAGACAGAGAAGTTTAAAACAGAAGCAGCTTCTGGATGAGTCAGATATGGGCTAGTATCTTGACTTTCTGGGTTCATAGGTTGATGCAAAATTTTATTTCTATAAGACCTTAATAAAGGATCATTTAACTGCACTGTCAGCTCTGTTTAAGCCTGAGTGTTACCAGTTGCTTAATTCATGTGGTCATCCAATGAGAGTTGGGGGAGTCATTCATGCATACCATTGTCCCAGTGTCTCTGGTCCTATAGTATCCCAGTTTAATAGGGCATTCAGAGCTCATTAGCAGGGAAAGACATCAGCACTGACCGCTGCACTGCCACACTTTGCAGCTAATAGCCTCAGAGAACAGAATTGTTTCTGTTTCTGCTCACTTGTTGTGAAATCCTTTCAATGTCAACAAGTAGCCATGTCGGCAGGAGCCCGCCATTCGCCCAAACAGTTTTATCCGTTGCTGTCCTGAGCCAAACTTGTGTCCTCATTCTTTGTTCAATCAACAATGCATCCTGAACAATCACAAAGACTTCACAGCGATTCATCATCAGCTCACGATTTTAGCTAGTAAAATTACCCGCCAAAAAAAATGGGTCCACCTTTAAGCATAGACTTTTAACAGCACTGTATTTTTCATCATTATCCCACTACACTGAATTTGGCATGAATCAGGGCATATAACAGCATGGGCAGAAGTGATGTGTCTTGTCATTTTAGGTTAGAAAATTATTATCACACATAGGATAATTATTTAGCTCAGTACATGACATATTTGAGTTTTAAGTTGACCTTTCAGTAACTTTTCAAGCCATCTTGAGTAAATTCCTGATATGTCACAATAAAAAAAAAAAAACGTATTATTTTTTTGTTAAACATTTGTACCTTTTATTATTTATAATCGGTCCTTGAGCTCCAATTTAGTGACTTTACCTATGCTAAGATGAAGTCATCATTCTGCTGCAGGTAGGAAGAAGCATTTCCTCAGTCTCCTCTATTGCAAAATAGATCAAACCGCAGCATTGGAACTTTGTAGCAAGTTGAAAGGTGAGAAGTTGCTACCTTGCCCAGGATCCCATTCTCTGTTAATTTCTGACTATATAACTCTGCTAAGCACCATTTGTATCTATATACCTCACGTTATAGCTGCATTATAACTTAGGAAAAATAGAAGACCCAGTGTGCTGTCCCATGGTTCTAACAGCCATCCACAGTATGAGGACTTAAATCTCCTGATATAAACAAATGTGACCAAGTGCTCAACTCCCATAATGTTAGGAGCTTCTGCCGTTCTACTCTGTGCAAGGCACACTGTCAATCAGCATAATATTATGGTGGGAGAGGATATCTGATTCCTTATGATGGAGCTGCTCTCTATCAATATAACAGTAGATAAAGTGTTGTTTGAGTATAATTACCTCCTAATTGCAAATCAATATCCTGCTTTTTACTGAGTATTACATATTAAAATGTATTACATATTATCAGCACCGTCCCGATAATGAGGCAGCCTAATGCCGTTGCCTCATCAACATATTATTGGGGAGCAGCTGGGTGGTGATGGTGGGGACAGGGGGGCAGCAACAGCATCCCAGGTTGCTGAGAACTCTTAGCAACCTGTGACACTCTATGCGGTGCCACCAACTCACTGATTATACCGGTTGCCAGTTGCTTAGTTGGAATGCACTGGCTTACATCCCGACTTGCTCCAGGTAGCCAGTGAAGTCAGTGAGCTGGTCAGGATTCTGGACAGAGCCACTGACAGCGCAGT